GCAATTTTTATTTAATTCACAACTAAACCACGTATGACGAGGTAACTGAACCGAATGACAACATTTATACGACTATTAACACAATCACTTTACAGTCATAAGCTTTTGAGTTAAATTTTATTCAAATTCGTTCAGTAATTAAAACGCGAAAAATACGAGCTCACTTTCCCATTCACAACTATTTCTATTTATGATCAGATGTTATCTGTGGTTTACGTATCATACACTAGATTTAAAAGCAAGTAATAGGATATATAAACGTTATAGTTATTTTATTTACACATCGCGAAGTGTTTATGCAACGTTCGGTTATTTTTTTTTAAATAAATCCAGTTCGACAGTTATTTAAGGAGGTCGAGTAATCTTAAACATATTACAACGAACTAACAAATCTCAAAACCTACACTAGCTGATCCTGACGTTGATTCTACGGTAAAATTTAGTAAAAAAAAACATATTAACATACAATTTTGTCTTCTTTGCGAGTGTAATTACTGCCCTATTTAGGATTGTTTTCTTACGGTTTCTTCTGCTGTCTATGTTTCAGCATGGAAGCTAGAAAAGATAGCCTCTCCATTATACCGATGCTAATCCTCTTCACCTGGACCACTGGACTTTCATTTATAGTCCACAAAGATCGACACCTATCGTAACCAAAAGGTAAACCTTTTCTAAAACAGACAATTTTTTTTAAAGACAAGTCACGCATTAGGTATAAATTCTTCTCTATTACAAACATACATGAAACGGACACAACGAACACCCAGACTCAGAACAACAATTTGTGGATCACAGAAAGTGTCGTCCCATGTGGGGTTTGAACCCACAACACTCGGCGTAGTAGGTAGCGGCGTGGCGACCGCTTAAATCACTACGCCATCCGTGCAGTCAATTAGCATTGCCATTCAACATTGCAATTAAATATGACGAAGAAAATATTTAGAATGTAGATTAGTTTTTCAATAAACATAAAATAATTACATAAGGATTAAGGGTTATTAAAGAGTCATTTTCTTTTGGAAGAGTCCCTTTTTTAATGTTTCAGAACCTCATTAATGCCGCAGCATTGAAACATCAGATGATGCTACTTATTTATAGTCAGATCATTTTGAAATTAAAATACCTTAGCTAACTAGATCTACTAGGATGTAATATATAGGTAAACTACTATGGCTGTATACTTATTGGTACTGAAAATTGTGTAAAATCTTTAGATTTTCCATTGTGAAGGCTTTTTCCGGATTGAAAATAAAAGACCTTGTCCACAATCAAAACACGATAATAATTCCAAGAATATCCTCTTTCAAACCTTATTTTAAACGACATATTTTTAAAATCGATTCGAAAAAGTAAACACTTTTCTTAAAATTTCCAAGGCCCAAGATAGTCGTCCACTTGAACCGACAAAATCCTCGAAAACAAGTTCTTTAAAATGGAAAGTACAAGTAGTATTCCAAACAACTTATATTTACTTTTATTGTTTCGACTGCTTACTACAACTAGAACGTTACTAAGTGCCCATTACCCGTAGAAAGTGAATAAACTCATTTACTTACTGCTAAATTTAATTTCTTTGTATAAATATTAAATAGACAGTATCAAATTTTCTAATTAAGACAGAATTAGTTAAACATAATGTGCAAATTTTTCGGTGTTTTTTTTTGCGCAGCGGTTTGACGAATGAAAGGTTCTTTTTTTTTAATACTGCTTTTTCGGTCTAGTGGGAATTGATTAAGTAATTTAATTGGAAATGTCACTTAATTTTTTTATGGTGTTTAAATACATACTATCACGATGATTTTATAAATAATATATCATAACAATGTAAACTTAATGGAACAAACAATTAATATTATAATGGCAAATATCCTAAAGTTCTTTACTAATCGTCATAAAATTCTTACACAACGTTTTATACATAAATTAATTAAAATAAAACCTTTATAATAATAAATAGTCCGTGTGGTGATAGATTAAGAATACGGAATGTCAACACCCCTATTCCTGTGGGTGTCGTAAGAGCCGACTAAGGGAGCAAACTACGCAGGACAACACCACTGCAAAGAAAAGGAAAACTTGAAACAAACCCTATATCAACCCGTCTGGCCAGCTGGTATAGTAGGCCAAAACCTCCTTTCTAAGAAGAGGCCTATGTCCAGCAGTGTTGATGATTGATGATAATAATAAATATATACATATTATTTAGTGCCAACGTTTACTTAAAGGTTTTTTTTTCGATAAATGAGTGTCCAAGGTTGCGTTATTAAATGAAACACCAAACAAAGTATATTTACTAACAGTAAGTCAATTTTCACTAAGGGTATAGGAGTTTGTTCTAAATAAAAATATTATTATATGCACCTGTTTTTTTAAATCAGAAGAATAAGAATGTAGTTAAAAATCAATCTCTCTTCGTATTTTATGCGCTGCTGACGTAGAGTTCATTCGCTTACCAGGAGTTATGCCATACATGTAGCCAGGGAAACAATAAAAGACAAAGGGGATCTTTCATCCAGAAAGGAATATTATTGGAAGGGTAGGGAAAGAGAGTAAGAGGCGGACATAGTTTGGCATAAAACGACTTGCGATAATAATCGCATCGCAATTACGATATTACAATCGCTATTTGTCTGTTATTCGATATCATCGCGTCGGCCGTCACGAAACTTGAACACAGATCTCTATTATTTTCGTTTAGAATCGTTAATTAAAGGCATTATGATTATTCAAAGTCAGCTGGAATAAGTCAGAATTTTTTTTTTCGTTTTAAAGATGTATTTATGTATGTGTAGTTATTTAGTACGTATGTGTGTATGTATATTTATCGCATTGTTTCTGTCTAACTTATCAATAATTTTCTTTTACTTTACATATCAATCTCTAGTGCACCTTGTCACACATTTCAACACAACCCTAAGGTAGACTGGGAGAAAATGCCTATGGCATTAAGTCCGCCATTGTACAGTTCATACTTGTTCATAAAGAATAAAAATAAAATAAATAAAAATTTACTTTCAAGTGTTCATTGGTTCAGATGTTCAAAACCAATTGTAATCAAGTTGGGATCTAATGATGGGATGTTAGAGAAATCGAGGGAACTGTTTAAGTTTCATTGGCCTAAACAATATAAACCTATGTTTTAAATTAGGTATTTTTATTTGCTATCGCAAAGAAATATTTGGTGAAGTGAACCTGATCATGAAGACCACAAATGATTGATCAGTAATATGTATTGTACGGATTGAGTTCGAGTACTATAATGAAGATGCTTAATTTATGGAGGAATGTATAAAAGAAGTATAAGGAAAAACTTGAGATGAGGCTGAAAAATTAGGAGATCGAGATATAGACTATCTACTAATTTATCATGATTTAAGCACGTTCAATTTGGTTACCGCCGTTATTAAGGTTTATAATATAATTTGCTATATAAATAAATTAATTTATTTTCTTCCAACCAGCCCGCGTGTGACCATGATCAGTGCAACATAGTCGAAGTCAGGAAATTCACAGGCATGTTTAATATTTTAAACAGTAATAATAATTTGACACATCTAACACACGGTCGTCTATTCCAACCAGGCAGGGCCTACTACATACTTCTTGGATAAATTACACCCAGATACAAAACAAATGATCGTGCTCTGTACACACTGTAATTTGTCCTGGGTGGGAGTCGAACCCACAACCTCTGGCTTAGTACTCGGGGTTATTAACCAACAGGCCAGTCATAATTTCTATTGATGCCCGTTTCTTGGTAATGATTAAATGTAATTAATTATATATTTCTTGTACGTATAACATTATATGTTTATTTGGATTTAATGTCACTGGCGGTCTGGTACATCTCCTTAAATGTCCCCTTTATTTACTTAATTGAATTGATGAGACTTCATTATCTATACATTTCTTTCCAGAAAAACTTTCGTGATAAACGCACAAGTAGCATTTCTGAGCCCGTAATCAGGTGGAGGTTTGGGTCGAACTGAAATCTGTGTCAGAACATTTTCACCGCTCCGCAATATGCCGTGAACTCCTTCCTACTTAACGTTTTTTATTACATTTCCTACTACAGAAAGGAACACGCGGAGAAAAAGAACTTTAAAAGATGGTTAAAAAAAATCTAGTAACTTAACTCACTCAATGAAAAGAAACGAAGAAATTGGTTAATACCGATTTTCAGCCGATTTTCGGCCTTGGGTTCATTACAGTCAAGCCACCTATATGTGTCGAAGCATCCCTAAGGTATATTTGTTTATCCAAAAGCAACAGCGCACAATATTTTTTTATTCGTTTTCCTTTATTCGTCCAACAAAAAATAAAAAATAAACAATGTCGACTGCATTCTGCTGGAAAAGTAACAGACTATTATGAACGTTTCTAGTTTTACGACTTAAGCGCCGTGAATTGTTGTACTTTTTAAGCGATAATTCTAGAAACTTTAGAATTTGGAATTTGGAGAGGTATATTATTATGTCATACCTGACTATTTTAATTTGATGCGCGATCTACGGAACTACAACACATAACATCTGTCCAAAAATTGTATCAAGACGAGTTAGTGTTTTATTTAATACACTTTGTATAAAATTGGTGACACTACCTTACTACATTCATATTTTTAAGTCTTTAAAAGTGACTGTGACTTTTTATTGCACTTTTTTAAATCTGTATACTGTAATTCAACCAAGCATATCCGGTATATGCAAATTCTGACCTTCATAAGCGGCACACACTGACCCACTTGATTACATGGTTTCATTTTATTTTAGCACTGCTAATTCCTTTCAATTCTGAATATTATGAGTGTACATTCAACGCCATCTATCAGAAACTAAAATTACTTCGTGAATGCTAATCCTGTATCGCGTAATTAAAGTTCTCAAGCTGATTAGTACAGTTTAACACAAAACGGGGCTGCGGATCAATAGTATGATGAAAGGATATTACACGTCGTTCTTGTAATTGTATTTTTGTATAGACAGATTCAAATCTTGTTTTTACTTACCAAGCCTGATCTTTAACTCCGAAGGTTTCAAGGCCGGTTCTTCTAAGACCACAGGCGGTGGTGGTGCGGGTGGAGCAGGAGGTGGAGGCGGTGGTGGTGGGGCTTCGTCACCAGAACTACCTCCGGAGGACACTCCTGAGGATGCTGAAGCAGCTTGGGCTACTGTGGCCTCATCTGAAACTGATGCTCGACGACTGCCAGCTGCAGAAGATATGCGACTAGCCTAGAGGGAAGATATATAAAGTTCATTACATTTGTGCCCAACTCTAGCCGGCTGAGTGACAGAACTTTGAATCTACAAAGGACTATTGTTGATCATCACCCCTAGTTAACAAAAAAAACCCGCTCTTGAAACCCACTTAAGCCTAACCTTAAGCTGACTTTCTTCAACTCAAACTTAGACCTATTCCACGGTAGAATCTTCACGCTGAGGAGGAGCAATGTTGATATCTACAGATAAACCGTTGTTCGAACGATTGTGAACGTGGGAGTGCAATGTTTCGCCATATTTGGGCCGACTTAAGCGGGGTGATACCACGGACTCATAGAAAACCTGAGTTAAGCTGTTTTTTCGTTACCTTTCACCAAGTGAATGAGGTAACCGGAGCTCAACCCTATCCCTCCCCCTAATTGTAATTAGTAGGGGACACTAAAAGGGCCGCAAAGCACTTTAATTCTTGAACTGCACGTGCCCATTGGTAGCGGTAGGCACTTACCATCAGATGACGCTTCTGCTCGTTGTCTCTATTCTAAAAACCAACTTAAGCTAACAACTGTCTTTTTGTAATCGATTTTGTATCAGAAACCAACTTTGTTGCATAAAATAATACTTACAAAGTTCTGAGCCTTGTGTGAAAGTGCCGCTAGTTTACTGGCTATTGATGACTTGTTTTGAACTTCAGAAGCTGGAGAAGATACCTCCTCGTATGCCTTGCTAGCTCTGTATAACGAAATAGTAAAACATATAGATATCATGTCTCAAAAGATTCAGCGCCATCTAGTGCAGTTAAGTGGAACTACTTCAAAAGATCTTAGGTTGACTACCGACCGACTACCGGCGTCGACCCGTGGGACTAGAAATAACAAGGTCCGGGTCCTACCCAGAGCAGGGCGCCTGAGACCGGCTGTCAGGGTGGTTTTTAGTCGAGGAGCCGGAGATCCGAAGTTATTTTCCACTCCGACCAAAACAAAAATAGGTTGATTATCAATAAAATAAACTTAACCGATATCCTAGTTTGATCGTTCCTTGTTTTTACTTAATATGCATAGGTATAATAAGAGCCCATTTATTTAGATTGTTAATTATTTTAAAACAAATTAATTACATTCACGATCTCACAGTCTGGTCTCTACCTCTAATAGGTGTAATTTTGGAAAATTGGAGTCTACCACAATGAAGATTACTGAAACTGGCAATACAATAGTATTGGCAGCGTAGTGGTTTAAGTGGTCACATGGGACGACACTTTGTGTGATCCACAAATTGTTGTTCTAGGTCTGGGTGTTCTTTGTGTCCGTTTCATGTATGTTTGTAAAGTCCCCCGCGACACAGGAATATGTTCCTAATGCGGGCGTTGTCTTTTTTAACAAAAGAATAAATAAAATAGTATTGGCAGTTTCAGTAATCTTCATTGTGGTAGATACTAGGTAGGTCTGGTAATGCGTAGACACATATATTGTTCAAAACGACAAGAGGCCCCTTAGGTCTGGAGAGACTGTACTTATTTGCCATTTTAATGTTATAAAAAATTAGGTGGAGCATTTTTTTATTTACCTAAGTTTTTTTGTAAGACCGAATTGCATGTAATGTTACAAATTAATCACAGTTTATTTCTACATTTCCTGAAGTTTGAGTTATTATTGTACCTAACTTTTCTGTTTATTCGTTTCTTTAATTCAACTATCGCTTTTTAAGTTCTCTATAGATATGTCTGTGAAGTAAAATGCAGGTGAAATTTCATCCAAAAAGTCCATTAATATTAATTTCACTAAAAATTGTAGCGAACACGTTTTAGAACAACCCGACCAAAACTATTCTCCCTGTTATGACTAATTAAAAAAAATGATTGTACACTCGGTGAAAGATGTAATTCTGCAGCGGGATCTTGTACTATAAGGTAGTAACTTTAAAAAAAGAATAATATATTGCAACAAGTTGTCAAAAAAAAAATTACAGGGTTTACGTAGAGCTAAACTACACTCGTACAATACCGGGGTGGTTCGCTGATCGAATATAAATTGCAAATACATTATCCTCTTACAATTTACTTCTTCTGTGCTTCCTGTTCTATGCACGTCCAAGTAGAAATTTTCAATGGTTAAGTTCAGTGGCATAATTTTTATAAAAATTAATAGCCAATTATAAAAATAATGTACAATTTCGAATTCAAATTCAATAATAAAAAGTAATTCAATTATAATCAGTTTATATTTTAAAATGGAATAATCGTAGGAGAGAGCGCTGATGTCTGAAATACAGATAATATACTTTATGTAGTTGTAATTATGTATTTAAATGGTAAGACAAGCGGTTATTTTATTTTTATGCCAATAAAACAAAAAAACAATATAATAATTCATGTCAATCTAATATATAAAATTCTCGTGTGACGGTGTTAGAAGTTGAACTCCTCCGAAACGGCTTGACCGATTTTTGTGAAATTTTGTGTGCATATCGACCGATTTGTGTGCATATCGGGTAGGTCTGAGAATCGGCCAACATCTATTTTTCATACACCTATTTTTTTATTTTTTTGACAATTTATTTTGAAATAATGTATATTGCAAAACAACGTTTGCGGGGTCAGCTAGTACTTTTATTATATTAATAATAATATATGAAGGCCTCCTCCAGTCCTTTCCACTCATCTCTGTCCTTGCCGATAGTTTGCCAGTCTTTTCTTATTAATTCGGTTATATCGTCAGCCCAAAAAAATACACGGAGGGGTCCATATCCAAATAGAAAAACTAACCCTTACTAACCTATAGACAATAAGCAAAACATGAATAACTAACTAAACACTAACAAACAAATACCAACATTTGAAAGAACATTTTTTATTTTATTTTATTTATTATTTTATAATCTTATATATAAAATTCTCGTGTCACATTGTTCGTTCACGTACTCCACCGAAACGGCTTGACCGATTCTCATGAAATTTTGTGTGCACATCGGGTAGGTCTGAGAATCGGCCAACATCTATTTTTCATACCCTTTTTTTTAGGCAAAGCAACGTTTGCCGGGTCAGCTAGTAATAATATATTTACACATTTCACACACGGCCGTCTGGTCCCAAGCTAGGCAGAGACTGTACTATGATAACCAGACTGCTGACAAACATACTTACATATTTCTAAATACATACATATAGATAAAGTACACCCAGTAAGTCAATAAATTATTATTTTTATTAATCATTTAAAAAAAAGTAGTACTATGTATACAACAGATCTTCTAAGTGTTATCACAATTAAATAAGCGGTTTACCCAGACTGCGTGATGTGTTTGATTGTACATAACATATGTAATTAAAGAAATATTTAGTGAACAAACATTCTTTTTTTTGTAAACATAGTTACACGCTAGGCTAGAAACTCTTACGGATGGGCTCCTGGGAAGACCCAACCAAATTTATAACGAACGAATAGATTCATTTCTAAATAGAAGGTAAATGGTACTCACGTGTCAGTATTATCTTTGGAATTGTAATCCACCACGAGCGCAGCACTTCCCGGACGACTGTGGCTCCCGGAGTCACGGGAACTGCTCCTAATATTACATATAACATTACTGTGTAAATTCTTCAAATATCTCATCAGGTTCAAGTTCCCTCTCGTTATTCTAACTAATGACTCTACAAAACAATGACGTTTTGGGGGAGAAAATTTATGCCTAACTGGCATTTTGACGACTGTTCTCACTGCAACGTCTATTTCCCTACTATAACACATGAATAATGGAAAAAATTGTCACAAGTACAAAGAAATTTAACAAAGCATTTTGTTTATCAATAGAAATAATCGTAAAGTATTTGTTTCCTCAAGAAATGATATCATCGGGCACATATTTATTTACATGTATGTAAAAACACCACTACCACCCTCTATGAAACACATAACTATGAATGCTATTGTGTTCTTATTTGTTGATGAATCTTTGGAGAGACTTGTGGGCACGCAAACGCGTCAGAATGGATCGAGATGAACTTAACGACCCTGCCAATTACATATATATGAAAATAGCGTGTTACAGAAGAAGTTTGATCACGGATTAAGAAGAGTCACCATCAATGTCCATCCCTGGGTGTCGTAAGAGCCGACTAAGGGAGCAAACTACACAGGACAACAGCACTGCACATAGAAGGAAAACTTGACTCAAACTCTATATGAACCCGTCTAGCCAACATGGTTTAAAAGGCCAAAACCTCCCTGTCTAAGGAGAGGACTATTACCAGCAGTGGACTGTTAGAGGCTGTTTATGATAAAATCAAGGTAACGTACCTTCGTCTTTGATGGCATGATGACGGTTCCTCTCGAGGCAAGTAAATGTCCTCGTAATGATGATCACGTCGGGTAGCTTCGGCGCCACTGTCGCTGTCTGACTGCTCTTGCACAGTGGCCATCTCTTCAGAGCTATGTATTTCTGCTTTCACTGGATAAGAAAAACCCTTATGTAGTTGTGTACTTAGAATGAAAATTAGCAAAGAAAAGCTAAGAGCAATCTTCTTGCATGACATAAAATTACTTCTTAGAAAAACTATTTGCTAAAGCTTGAATAGTAATGAAATTTATGACAGTTTTCTTTCTGTTAAAGTATTAACGAGATGGTTAAACTAGATTGTAAGTCTTTTAAGATACTTTATGAAGAAATATATAGCAGAAAACATGATATCGCCGTGATAAAATAGAGTGCTGTGAAAGCTGCTTTATTTGAGCTACTGCTGATATCCTATCAGCCTTACCAGTAATAATTGAGTCCTCCGGTTCTTCTGACTGCCTTGTTCCTGGACAATAACAGGGACTCTAAATCAAGCTGGCTAAACTTTATATATCTGACCCAATCTTGTGATATGATCATCATATATTTTTTACGATGTCAGATTTATTTACTTCAACAATTTTGTTTTTAAGTCTATAACTAAGTTAATTCTTTTCTTTTTAGTCTTCTGAAGTTACTTAAATTAGTCGGTCGTCAGTATTTTCACGTACGAGAAGACTGTTATTGAACATTGTTTCAAGTTAATTGAAAATGTGACCAATAAATGAGTCGGCCTAATTTGCAAATCCATTGAGAATTACAATCAATTTGTTTGTAACGAATTTATTTATAAATTGTTTTCTCTATAGTCTTTGGTATTTTTAAAATAAATATGCAGCAACAACATAAGTTTAACTTTAACAAGAAAAACTATTCAAAAAACTGTTTCGAGGCTTTTTTGTTCTTAGTATAGTTATATCGTATAATAACACAATAACATATTAATGCAGTACTAATATTATTACTTCAAAATTGAAAAAGCTAAGTTGTCTTTCATCCGTTTGCGTCTTTTTCAAAAATATTTATACCCATTGCGTTAAATTTCATACTCAAATGACCGAAATCGGTAATTTTTACATTCACCGATGAATTTTAAAATTTGCCTATCTGGTCATATGAATATATCTTACCAGTCATGGCCGGAGCCTCTTGGCCCTCAGCCGGCACCCGTTGCCCGGGTGAGCGAGTGTGGAACAGATCTCTGACGCGCTGATACAATGCAGCCGGAGCTCCAGAGTTAGTGTTGTTGTTGTTGTGTAAGAACCAGCCACCGGCGGCGCATGCATCCTCCGACGCTGAGGCTGGAACAAAGAGTTCTCATTACTTACTAGGAATTAAACGCCATTTTTTTTTTAGATTCAAACGCACACTCGATTTGTAAGTACAAAAAAAACTGAATATAAAATAATTCATTCTATATTGTTTGATCATTATTTTTCCAGTTTCCACTTAGATTTAGGTTAAGTTAGATTTAAGTCGAGTTCTGTTAATTAGTCTACTATTCTTAAAAAAAATGTTTACATTTATTGCTAATAGTTAAATTAATTTACAGTTACTAATTAAAATTGATACACCCATAACATACTTGTTTTGTGACCCCGTGTGCAGAAATTATTCCCTTTGAGCGACAGGTTTTGAAACAGATATAATTTACTTACATTGTTTTTCGACTAAACAAAGTCCTTATTTCCTTATTTCATTGTAGTAAGTGTTTATTTCTCACGTTAAAGAAAAAAAACAAAAATTTTTTTTTTTACTATCAATAAGAATCTGAAGAAATGCTGTAAAAAGCTGCCATCTTTATTGGTTTGTGGGGGAACGGGTGTTGGGTTGTGTGAACCAACACAAAGAGAGGACCGACCAGGCGAGGTGATGTTGCGGCCCAGTGGTTGATGTTGGGAAATTGTATATATACGAATTACTCATATCGCGATACAGTATTAGCAGTTACTCCGTAGTTCGGTATGTCTTTGTTAGATGGCGCTGTAGTATGTTTTTTTCGTTTCGCCGTATGTGGAAGTCGCCACAAGTTTTTAGGGTGAACTATTTCTTGGTGTTAAGATGTGATGATTATGGCAACCTCAACTTCAACCTGAACGTCATGGTGGTTTGACTTTGAAAATTAACCACTTTAGCTACTGATAAAAAAAAACTAAATACGTACTAAGGCTGAGCCAGTTTATTACATAGCTAAACTTGACCAGAGCACCAAAGATAAACTGTAATTTATTTATAAAGATGTTAGTTACACTTCATACAACTTTTAAATAGATATGTTGAACATTCTTGTTATAAATCCTGCCCAGAACGCGAATACTAGTGTTGTGGATTATTCAGCTTTTTTTATTATACAGTTATCAACCACGCATTTACGCCGATGTCCATAATTGTATTATAAATGTGAAACTAAGTTTGATTGTTTATTTGTTTTTTACGCTTTTACGCCTAAACCCCTAAACCGATTTTAAAAATTATTTCCCCAATGGAAAGCTACATAAACGCGGGCGGAGCCCCGGGCAAGAGCTAGTATTGTATAAATATGATTTTGTAACAAATAGTTAAACACGCATAAGCAGTACGCACCTATTACATATAAGTCTTACGTCTTGTTCTCTAGGTTCCAATGTACACCCAAATGTCTTTATTACCGTTAGGTTAAGTGGAGGCCTAATAACCAACAACATTTTGGTACCACATTTGATCCAAAAATATAAGTTTTAGCTAAACTAATATCACTTAAAAAATTGGAAGTATATTAAAAGGCCAAAACGGAAAGAGAGTAAGGCATCAATTTTTATTCCTTTTGTTAAATCACCAGAATTAATCAAAATGTATTTTTAAGACCTACCATTGTCTATATCGACCACATCCAGCCAATCTTGTATAATAGACCTTTTCACTGCATCCATATTGTACAATGATAATCTAACTGAAAACACACGTCCGCTCAGTTTGATAACAGGAAAGCAACTGTGCAATGGGGTGCGACGTTACCTAAAACTGCGCATGCGCTTCCTGACGACTCACTTCCGTCGTATAGGTATTAGATGCGGTTGATTTTACAATATCATGCTTTGGTATATACCTGTAATATAATTAGTTTATCTACGCAATTATGTACTGTATACAATAATATGTTATCAAATTTTATTATTAAGTGATTACTTGAAATTAACACCAAATACTAATTTAATGAGCTTCGAGTATATTACGATTTTGAACTTCTTAATCTTAAAATTACAGCAATGTTGTAATGGTATATATTTATGGCGCTAAAAATATTATTTTTAATCTACTCTGAACTGGGGCTACAGCGGTTTTGTTCAGTCAATGACGAAGGCCAGTATCACCTGGTCAAAATATCAATATCAAAGTTGTGCTATATATTTTAACTCTTGCTTTAATCTCCGTTGTATTTTACACATGCACGCACACACACACACGCGAGCACGTGCGCCTGCATACACTCATACCAGCAGACACGCCCACGTACACACAAACACACGCACGCACACACACACGCACACATACACACACGTCCATTAAAATTACAACTTAAATATTACCATTCTATGCACAGAATATCTAACACCTAATTTAATACAGACCTTAATACGCTTATCCAACATTGTTACATATTCATACTATATAACGTCGTCAAAACAAATATAAACACGTATACATAAACAGTCACATAACATTCCCCAACACTTATATCATATTCTATCATCATTATCAACATCACGTAATGTGTATCATCACTTAGGTCCCGTTAAGGTACGTCGTCCACTATCTCTATACCGGTTTCTTTTATACGACCTTGGGCTAAGTAACATGTTCGGTCTGTTTTACTTTCATTCGTTCTAATCTCGTATTGGAAAGCAAAAGCTGTTGGCGGCTATGTATATATTATGAGAAATTTCCATTTCTTTGATGTATTGTTGTGTATGGTGGAAAGTAAGATTATATTGATAGTAAAATTATATGTAGATGGTGAGCTAAGCTGTTTTAAATAATGGCGACTATTTTGACACTCTTTTTTAGAGTATTGAAATATTGAAAATGAAACGTAAATTAACCCTAAATTATTGTTATCCCTCTGTTATCATTAAAGTTTGCAACGTGTGTCAAGAAGTCGCGTTTGTTAAACAATTGTAATTACAGTTAGTATTGGCGAAAACAAAGTATGAAAAAAAAGAAAAAATATTTATTTAGAAACAAAGAAAACAAATTACAGGAGTACTTAACAAGACATGAAATTAATGTAGCAGATCTTATCAGATAAATATTAACGCGGTCCCCACAGTAGGCAAGCCTGTATCGTGGGGTCCCAGCAGTATAAAGTATCTATTATGATTTTCGTTTGTTTTGTTGTTGATTGTTTGATTTGATTAGTACTATATATATATATATATATTGTCAGTTTGTATACGCTTTAAAACCTCAAAAAGTTGTTCACCGATTGAGCTCAAATGCGACAAATTTAAATTTGTTCTTATTTATTTTTCATGTCAGTTTTGCTGCTCATTTCTCATCCGCCACACGTAGCAGGGTTTTATAATTAATAATCGATGTATACAATTACATTGGGATTTCGTTCTCATGTGTAGATCGAAAAAAATATGTAATTCACGTTGAATATAAAAGTTTGAAAAGTCATATAGTACAGCCTGTTTGCAATATTTAATATCCCTAGAAGTGTAACTAGACGTAAAGAACTGCCTTCATAATTTAATAATAAGCAACGTAAAGGGCTACCTCAGATACATCTACGCTAAAGCATTATGTATGATCTCTGGAGAGAAGTTTAAAATATAAGAAAATTACCTGAACTTTCCTCCCCCGAAGAGCTATGGTGCGTCGCACTGTTTGGGTTTCCTCTCTGCATAGGATTCACGTACAGCCCATCTGCAGGTCCAGATCTGGCCGAGCTAATGGAGCCAACGGTGGAAGATAGTGAGCCTCGGCGTTCCTGGCCTGAATTGCGTCTCTCTCGCTCTGGTCCGTGAAGGTAGAAGGGAGAACGAGTGCTGTTTGCGTTGATGCAGTTCGGGAGAGCACACTGAAATTAAGAAATAAGAATATTTGTAAAATTTTGAATACTTTATGTTTGCGTAAAATTTCCATAGCGGGATGACGGTTATTTGTACTGTACTGTATGCATTTCAAATTCAAATTTTAAGGATAAATTCTGCATTGGCATAAAACCTTAATGTTGTCGGAACTTCTGTTTATCAATATCTTCAATTCTATTTTTGACTTGATAACCTATAAGAATATATCACCACTACACTTTATTTATATTTGAAGTGCAAAACATTTTTAAACTGGAAAACCTTTTTTAAAGTTTCTAATTATCGTAAAATTGATTCTGTTCTAAAGAACAGTAAGAATGAATGAAGTTTAATTTCATTGATAAATCAATGAAATTAAACTTCATTAATTTTAAGTATGCATTCAGAAACTATTTTGCTATGAAAAAAAGTAATTAATTGTTTTTATTTATGGAATTTAATCACTTTAACAGTGTTTTAATATTACAACAACTGTAATTATTAACAATTTATTGAACGCTCTTTCAACACACCATACATATTTAAATAAAAGCATACTACTACTAATATATGCTTAGTAGCTACTAAGCTACTAAGCATATATATTAAGTAGTTTTTATTTTAAATTTTAATTAAGGCTACAATGTAATCGCAATGGAAGTTACGAGACCAGTGACAATTACCGATCTTCTTACAACGATTAAAAGGTTATGTAAATACTGGCTGATTTTTATGCAATAACTTTTAACAATGAAATAAAGAACGTGCCTACATTCCTCGCTACTTTGATTTGGAGCACGTGAAGTTCGAAATATAAAAAGGTTACTTTGAACCCAGCTAGCCATACATTTTTGACGTTCTGTCAAAAAAGGCAAGGTTTCCCTGATTTTTTTTTTACAATTTTAATAACTTGACTTTTCAAGATAAATGTAAAACAAAACCATAAATATAATAAGAACACACAGAGACACTAAGCTATGGCAGACACTTAAAACAACAATAAACTTACTCTTGTGTCGCTTGGGGAGCATGCGCAGGAGTGAATCGCTTTGTATGCGGAAAGCTGTTTGCTATCAGCTCCAGTCGCGCCCGCAGCCACAAGAACATTCAGACACTGTAAATTAATAAAAGATATTAAATAATATATATATATATACGAATTTCATAAAATGTCTTCTTCTTAATTTCAAGTCTTAAAAAGGATTTCAAACTATTTAACAGCACGCTACCGGGCTCTTAGGAGCAGAGCAGAGAACACAAACGATGGTCGTGATTGAAAAGGTTTTAAACAAAAAATAAAGAGCACTAAATGGTGTTTTGAATAAACATAGGCTCCCAATAGTATGGATATTATTTATTCCCATGAAAATGAAATAATGAAGCCTAACAAATACTCATAACATTGACCCCACGGCTATTCTTGTGGCAAATGCAATTTGTCATGATGAAATCATTTCAGGAAACCTGCATTGTTCCATAATCCGGCCCTGTCGTCATAACCTGCAGGTCGGTAGCAGTGACCCTTGACGTTATCATAGGTGGACGAACCTGCTTCATGATTTTTAATTTTTCAGTCAGTCAAATGACGTCATGTATCAGATAAGGGGACATAAAGAGAGAGAAAATAAGGGTAAAGATTTCTGAAGCAAAATGAGATGAAAAAATCAATTTCTTTTGCTATTCAATATGCTGACTTTTCTTGGCTACTGACTTCAATTAACAAACAAATACCTCACATTATATATTTAAATTTCTGCATGTGTTAAAATTTGATTTATTTAATATTAATTCGGACCAAGTGTTTGTATGGTATGCAAATATTTGTTCCGGAGTTTGGGTGTTTTCTATGTATATCAGTCGATCTAGCTTTCTTAGTACAAACTCAGCTTAGTTTGTGGAACTAGATGGCGTTGTGTATTAGATGTCCGAAATATTATTTTTAGTATAATAAAAATACATTTACAAATGTTAAAATTCAATCATTTTTAAAAGCGAGGAACAATCTGTATAGAAAATGGTGTATACAGAAAAAATAAATTTTATAAGTATGAGTAACATATATACATATACACTCACGTATGAGTATTAGAATGAGTAGGCAGAGGCGTGTTATTAAACGTGCATTGCCTAGTCAAGTTTTCATGTGTTATGTTATTCCGATAACTGTTGTAAATAACTCGTTCCTTACATTTTTAAATTATTATTGTTTTAAAACCATTCTGCGTCATTAGTTTCAATTTCTCTAGTAATTTTTTGTTGAGGTGGTGGTAAATCCCTTTTGGATCTAAGGCTCTTCCCCTAAGGGTCCTCCCCAACGCAGGGGCCAGGAGTGTGTGGTGTTTCCACTAAAAACCACCTCGACAGTCAGTCTCAGGCGCCCTGCTCTGGGGAGGACCCGGACTATGTTTTTAAATTTTCCTCTCTTTAGGCGGCGTCCGGCACACGCGGACGCCGCCCCCTCGCGGCTGGCCAACAAATGCGGGTGGAGGGGAGAACCCATCCCGTCCACCCGCAGCCACACTCAGGGCGGCATGAGGCGCAGGTGAGCGCGCCTCCACCGCCCGGTTCGCCGGCGGCGGATCAGGTCCGAGTGGAGGTCGTCCTCCCGGGCCTTCTCCGCCGCCTCCTTCTGCGAGATTACCTCCTCGCAGAAGGTTGCGACCGCGGTAAAAACACTGTCGCTACCGGCCATGGAGCGAACTACGGCCGGTAGCGAGAGATCCGCTCCGATGACTGCAGTGAGGGCCCGGCGCTGCGTTGCCCATGCGGGGCAGACCGCCAGCGTGTGCTGGGCCGAGTGCTCACTGCAGTATCAAATACAAACCCTATATCAACCCGTCTGGCCAGCGTGGTATAGTAGGCCAAAACCTCCTTTCTAAGGAGAGGCCTATGTCCAGCAGTGGACTGTTAGAGGCTGTTAATGATGATGAAAATACATTAATGGTTAAGAATCGCCTAATCTATTATCAAAACAAAGTAAGTTATTGGAGCGGCAAATATGATATTTATACGGAATTAATAAAGATAATAGTGTTTCAAAAGAAAGTGAGAGCTGAACGAATAGACGATCGAGCTAGGGAAGCCTAAACACTTTAGATACTCTTGTTGCCTTTACACTAATTAAGTGTAAATAATCAATTCTCCACTGAGAATTAAGGAGCATCTTCTTGGGACGTCGTAAAAGATATCGTTGTACGAAATTCATAGACACTTTAATACATCTCCATCGCCTTATCGAACGGATATTTTTTTATTGTATATTGACAAACGGTAAGGCACTACCGACTATTATATTTTAAACTCTTCCAATTTTCTTTTGATTAATATTGTGGGTTCCATGGTGGTGGTGTCATAACTCGGTGTGTTCGTGGGTTACTGGAGTTGATCCTGGTGTACAGGAGTTACAGTGGCGTGTGGGAGGGATTAATCCCGATAAAAAACTCAAGAGACATAACTTTGTTTGCCTCCATTGGTAGTAGTAGTAATAGTAGGCCAAAACCTTTTTTCTAAGGGGAGGCCTATGTCCAGCAGTGGACTTTTAAAGACTGTTGATGATGATGTTGTTAGAATGTATCCATAATGTTAATTATTAATATTAAACTACATTACTAATGTTTCGTTAAGTTTATGTAAGTGAGTAAAGCTTCTCAGTAACCCATCTGGCCAACGTGGTATAGTAGGCCAAAACCTCCTTTCTAAGAGTAGGCCTATGTCCAGCAGTGGACTATTAAAAGCTGTTGATGAAGGTTTTAAAGCTTCATTTAGAGTAGTAATGATAACGTAATTGGCAACATCAAATCCCAATTATATAACCGGCTCCTTACCATAAAATGTTGCTCAATGTTGAACATTATAAATGGATTTACAATTATATATGTATCTGTGAAAAGCTTTCGTTAAAATTTACATAAAACCATAAACATATGAAGTTTTTATTTTTAATATTCCATTTTATTAACTTTGCCTATGTTTTGTGTCTCATTAAGTTTTAATAAAACATAATTGAGCTAATTTACATAAACAAAAATTTACACGATACAAAATAGATGTTTCAAAGAATTTAAAAAATGCTTGTCTTTCTTATTTTCTTTTAATTTTCGAGATTCTCATCATCATTATCAGCCTATCGCAGTCCACTGCTGGACATAGGCCTCTCCCATTGCACGTCACTTAGATCGATTTTGGGCTTCTCGCATCCAGCATAAATGCTATGCTCATAATTTTTACAATTTAATATAAAACTTTATTTCGCAAAATGTAGTGAAAAATTAATAAAACATTTTAGAAAATTCTATGAAGGTGACTGATAGTTGACTAGAAGCACATTGTAAAGATATAGTGTTTATAAAACTTTTATTTGCCCCAATACAGTCTCCTGTTAACACACCACTTTTCTGAGAGAAAGCCTCTAGTGAAACGAGTTTATGTACACTGACAAGTTCTACAGTATAATACATAGAGATAAACTAAATAAATTAAGTTTAAGATTTTTTTCTTATTTAACTAGAAATTACATATTTTACCATGCGAGAGCCAGCCGCATTATTATGTGCCGAACACATGGTGCGGCCAAAACCTCCTTTCTAAGGAGAGGCCTATTTCCAGCAGTGGACTATTAAAGGATGTTGATGATGATGATGATGATGATATGGTGCGGATGGACCGGAGTAATTAATACCAGGGCCTCACAGAATACCTTTGATTAGCCATTCTTTCGTTGAATTTCACTCAGTGCATAAGGTCCAAACTAAAAGGCACTGAAAGGGCGGCAACGAACTCATGTTTGAGTCGAGGTGGCTAGGGGCGTTGGTAGTCACTTACCAACAGGTCTATCAGACCCATTCGCTCATTTGACCCTATACTATAAAAATGGCATATATCTGAACTATAGCTTCTACTATCGGACACTCAATACTAACTGAACATTAATTACCAGTAAAATAAGATTAGGAAGAATGAACAATCTTAAAAGATAAGTTAAGATACTTAGTATATACTATACTAGTATAAGTATTATCTTAGTGTAACCATAAGTACACATAAGTTGATTATGACCGTTATGTAGTGTTGACCGGTGTTAAAAACAAGTGATTAATATGCGCGTACACCGAAATCGGACTACCGGAGTGTGACCAGTGAAAACTGATACTTTCAAAACGTGATTTTTGTTAAATCGTATGTAGAAAGTATGGAGATGTCTATGACGTTCTCGAATATATGTTAACTACTTGTTATCTTGGTATTGTTTTTATCGGAATAAGCTTTTAATTCTTTAAAAGCTAATTACGTCACTCTTGTGTGTTTTACTTACGTAAATTTTAAAATAAAAAAAAGAAACAAAGGAAATGCGTTGTAGTATGCCTTCTTTAAAACATTGATTAAAAAATTACTTTCATTATGATCTGTTATATAAATACCTTAAATTGTTTTAATTACAGACTACAATTATATTAAAATCAAATATGTAAGTTTAAAATAATCCAGTAGGAAGTCCGGTCGCAATAAGTGCATTTTGTTTTTACTACTACCTGGACCTAAAACCTTTTAGTTTATTGTCAATGGGTATAGGAATCCGTGACGAGACGGGGAACAGGGTCTTTTTAAATGCAAAATAAGAATAAACAAGAATTCACTTAAGTAATCACGGGATTATTCTATAGAATTCATGAACTATTGTTGAAAATTCTGTTTCTTTTTTAAAAAAGACAACTACCGCATTAGGAATATATCCTGTGTCGTGAGGGACTTTGCAAACATACATGAAACGGACACAAAGAACACCCAGACTCAGAACAACAATTTGTGGTTCTCACAAAGTGTCGTCCCATTTGGGGTTTGAACCCACAACACTCGGCGACCGCTTAAACCACTACGCCATCCGTGCATGCCGTCATTCATTTATTCACTTTTTTCTCTTGACTTATCTCTTGACTCTTGGTTTAAATATATGTTTACCCAAATGGATGTCACGGATTTTGTTAAAATCATTTGTTATTTGGCTAAAGTGTAAGCAATCTTGCTTTTCCGGGATTGGTTTAAATGACTTTCAATCAACATAATTTAAAAGATAGTATAAACTTAATTTGATCGCTAAAATATAATCTTTCATTTGAAAACATTCTTACATTATTCGCATTTTATACATGACATGGAAAAAATGCCACTGTCATAATACACACAGTAATAATGCTATTATTTCCTATTTCTTCGACATCGTTCGATTAATATTGATTTAGTTCGTAGAGAAATTACGGCCCTAATATCGATCGATTCCACGAGTGGTATAGAAAGCACGCTGTAATCACATCAAATCGTCACCGCGCAATTATGGCGTACAACTGGGGAGTATTAATTACTCTCATTGATTGTAGTTTTCATTCGCTTTTCCTAGTTTCCTGGTATTGTATAACTTGACACATATTTTCTTGTTTGCACCGTCTACTGTATTATTAAATGATTGTTTGTGTATTATGATATTTATACCACTGTTTACATAAAAATATAAAGTGGTGCAGAAAAGTGTGCTCATATTTTTGGTCATAATGACCCTAGTAATTCACATGAAACAAGAAACAAAAAAGCTTGCCTGTGATTGCAATAATTTTATATTACATTATTTTATTTACATTGACGAAACGAATTTATTCAAAAATGGTCGTATACATGTTCGTTCGTCAATTTAAATAAATAATAATTGTCTTGTAATAATGGCTTGTGACAGAAAACTGTGTGGTTTTAGTCGGTTCGACGCCGTATGCCTTCGGCTTCGGTGAGGATGGATTCGCTCCTACTGTACACTCCTTGACGTTGAATCGGATCCACCCAGAATTATCTATTGTAGATCTATTTTATGTTCAGCCATATGACTTGCTAGTAAAAAACCTCTCGCTGCTACTCTAACATCCTATGTAACTAGAGTAGTCTGCTGGCAGCATGAAGGGTAAGACACAGATAGTTAAAAATAAAGATCTTACCTCCAAATGATGATTCTCAGCGGCATCATTAATGGGACTCTTGCCATGCCTGTCCAGATGCAGCCTTGCTCCATGTCTGAGAAGCCAACGGACTGTGCTGAGATGTCCCCTGGAAGCCGCGAAATGGAGCGGAGTTGCGCCATCTCCGTCTCTAGCGTTCGGGTCCACATTTCTTTCTATAATCTAGAAAATTAAATATTAAATTATTCTTTTTGATCCATATGTTTGTTACGGCTAGATAATATACTTAAAAAACATTCATCGCTTTGCTTGCATTCTTAATTTCATCATTATGTGCAAAAATATTTAGCTATGCTTTCAAATTTTACAACAGATCAGTCTCATAACAACGTCGCTAGAAAGGATGACCAGAAGGCACAGTATTTTATTCCAGAGACACAACAGCACAATACTTAATAGTCCCAAAATATCATCTTAAAATCATAATATGTTGGACTATTTAATCAATAAATAAATGCTATAAGTGTTTTGAAAATACTAACGATTATTGTTAAAATTTAAAAGCAAAATACCTTTTTTTTAAACATTTTAAAGCAAACATAAATATCAATACATACACATATTAAAAGGTAAAGGTAAAATGACTTGTATGTTAAAGTAAAAACAAATTAACCACGTGGTTCTCACACACGGAACTTTTTTTGAGACCCTGAACATAAACCAAGAGGGGATTCCTTAATTACGTTGTCGTAATTTTGCAGTGCTACCTCTACATAACACAATGCTCTATGTGTTCTAACTATAAAGTAAGCAAGAGCCATACTGTTCGACAATCAACAGCCCATTTTACCGCAAAATTTCGAAGTTTATGTTCCAAACCCTTGTATACGTAAAGATTTCACCACAACATTGTAAGATATAAACTGTGCAATATAAGCTATGTTAGAGTACGGAGAACAATAAAGCTGTAAGTTTTGTAATAATAATATCAAATAATCTAAAATAACCGTATAATGGAGGAGATGCCCATTCGATACGGTCGATTTGGAAACGTCAGCAGGATAAGCAAATTTTTTATCACATTGGTCAATAAGGCCCCGATAAAAAAAAACTGTTGGTATTTGACAGTGGATTACACAAATGGCGCTGTGGTGATATAAATTCCAGTGTAGGTCGATCAAAATTAGTGCGCCTTGATCGATGGGTGGGACAATATTGTCATTTTTGTACGATTTGTTATTGTGCATAGATTTTGCAATATCATTATTCTTATTTCAGAACCATAGAGTTTTATTTTCGAGACATAAAGTAGCCTTTGGATTTTTTAGGCCCCTTTAATATTTATGAAAAAAACATCAAATTTGTTATTTCTTTAAATCTATGTTTTACCCGTAATAAATATATTAATCAAATAACAATTATATAAATGAAAGTTTAGTGTAGAGAAAAAACCTGTTCTGACAAGTTCCATTTTGCATAAGCCTTCTCTTCTGGCCTTGAGTTCACCAATTAGGCTTGCAAAATACACATCAACCTTTGAAGTGATGACATAAAATTCACTTTGCTAAAGAGCTGCATAATGGTAAATGAAAAAATCTTTAAAACTTAGTTAAATTAGAAAGAATCTTTGTAATGGAGATGATAGTTCCTATACAGCTAAAATATATTTAATAATAATGATATGTAAATAATGTAAAAAAGTTAAATCTATCTAAAAGTGATAAATCTATTTATTTCTAAAGCACATTATCATCTTTAAATAGTCGGCACAGACCAAAACCATTCATTCAGAATATTTATATAGTATGAACCTTATTAACATAGTATAAGGTTAGGAATTGCCGATCGAAGTTTAGAATTTAGTAATACTTATAACATTATTTGAGACGCATAATTAGTTAATTTGTATAAAATGTTAGACGGATTCCTTTTAGTCGAGTCCTGTATATTGTCCCGAATATCGATGACCCATCTTACTCTTTTGCCCACTTTATCTTAAAAGTAAACACGATTCATCTTCAGTAGCAAATTCTAGAAGGTTTTAACTGCATTAACATATTTATATTCGTATAAATATACTCAAACTCAAACTCAAACTCAAACTCAAACTTTCTTTATTTCATAAAATTTTTAAAATTGTTTGAAATCGTCTTCCATGTAGACTCTAAAGTCATAGATCAACACACACAAAAGCAACAATCTCTGTTTTGTCAAATAGTAACCAAATAAATTTAACAAAATCAAACCCATACAAAATCTATGATATGCCTGTGCCGATCTACAACCGCCCGTTTCCAAGGGGTTGAGCCTTATGAGAAGAAAGGGCAAACAAACTCATGGCCACTCTTTTGCAATTCACAAGTAGATACAATGGCACTATTAAATATATCACAACATTGTTTTGATGTGTGCTAGTATGTCCGTTATTAAGGACTTAAAGGTGAAAAAACAACGAAGAGAAAACAAGATTAAGAAGAACAAACGAATACAAGAGAAAATGAAGTGAAACATAAAAAATAGAAAAAATAATAAAAAACATACTAGCCACACCACATTTTTACTTAAGAAAGAAATAGCCTGCGCTAATTAATCCCAAGCATTCTTGTCCTCCATGTAATCCACAATCGAGTAGTAGGCCCTCTGGCACAAGCCACGTTTTACTGCGGATTTAAATTTGTTAACACTCAACTCCTGAATATTATTTGGGATTTTATTATAAAATCGGACACATTGACCTCGAAAAGACTTGTTTATCTTTTGGAGCCTAGAGGCGGGTACAACAAATTTATTTTTATATCTGGTATTTATGGCATGTACATCACTTTTTTTCAAAAAGCTATCTTTATTTTTGTGAACATATATTACATTTTCATAAATATATTGACTTGCCACTGTCATTATATTTATTTCTTTAAATTTCTGCCTCAATGAACAACGATTGCCTAAATTATAAAGTGCTCGAATAGCTCTCTTTTGCAGCACAAAAATAGTTTGAATGTCGGCAGCATTCCCCCACAGCAGAATACCGTACGACATTATGCTATGAAAGTAACTGAAGTAAACAAGTCGTGCTGTATCAACATCAGTCAACTCTCGGATTTTCCTTACTGCGTATGCTGCTGAGCTGAGTCTACTCGACAATTTATCAATATGTGGGCCCCACTGTAGCTTAGCATCTAGTGTTATACCTAAAAATGTCGTAGTGTCCACAAGGTCCAGCCCGACATCCTTAATTATCACAGTAGTTTTCACTGGCTTGACGTTTGGCATAGTGAAACGTATACACTTAGTTTTTTTGTTCATTTAATAGTAAATTGTTGACATCAAACCAATGAACCACTTTCGAAATGGCGCTGTTTACAAATGTGAAATCAGAAAGTGTCCGTTTTAGTCTAAATAATAGTGATGTATCATCTGCAAACAACACAATCTCGAGATTGTCCTTGACAAAGTGAGGTAAGTCGTTAATATATACTAAAAACAAAAAGGGCCGAGAATAGAACCCTGTGGAACGCCCATTTCTATCACAGAGCCTGGAGACCGCTCACCATTAATATCAACTTTTTGAATCCTATTACATAGATATGAGGCAAGTAGTTCCAGGGCTTTATTTTTGATACCATAGTGCTGTAATTTCCTGATCAGCGTTTCATGAACAACACAATCAAAAGCCTTAGATAAATCGCAAAAGATACCTAGAGAATCGTGGGCATCCTCCCAGGCATCAAATATATGTTTTACTAGCTCAACACTAGCATCAGTTGTGGAGCGACCCCTTGTAAAACCAAATTGTCTATTGTGCAATAAATTATTATTATTAAAAAAACTGTGCAATTGATCATACATAATTTTTTCAAAAATTTTACTAAATACTGGTAGTACTGAGATAGGTCTAAAGTTAGTTGGGTCAGATGTACTACCAGATTTGAATAAGGGAATAATTTTACTAGACTTCATAAGATCAGGAAATACACCACTATCAACACATTGATTAAATGTAAATGACAATTGATTAGCCACAAGAGATATAATTGTCTTAGTAATTAAAACAGAATTTCCCCATAGGTCGGTTGTTTTTTTAACATTAATAGTGTTAAAGGCTTTAATAATTTCAAAGGGGGACACATATTGGAACTTAAATTCACTATCAATTCTTCTAACATTCTCTTTTAAAATTGATTCTGCAAGGTATGGTGAGGAGTTCAAAGATTTAGTAGTTGATACAGGAATGTTAGTAAAAAAATTCTCAAATGCAGCAGCAACCTCAGCATTTGATGTGATAAATTTATTGTTTATGTTTAAATTAAATTCATTATTACGGTTTGGATCTTTGCCAGTTTCACTATTAATAATTTTCCAAGTGGTTTTAATCTTATCATTACTACTTTTAATCTTTGAACTAATAAAACGAGACTTAGCCAGTTTACAAAGTTTCCTAAACAGCTTCGAATATTCTTTAACATAATTATGAAACTGTTCACTTTTATTATAATTCCTCTCATCGTATAGCTCGTATAATCTTTTCCTACTTTTGAGTAAGCCAGGGGTAGCCCATTCACTAAATGTGGCGTTACCTTTAACCACTAGCGTTTTTGGTGTAAAAATGGTGTTAAATGTTGAAGAGAAAGTTTCAAAAAAACTATTATAATAAGTATTAGGGTTATTCTCTACACAGAGTACTGAATTATTAAAAGCAGCTTTAAGTTTATCCTTAAAGTTTTCACAACGCTTTGCGGTTTTAGAATATCATATATTTTTTATAGTATCGGATGTATTGAAGAAAAAAAATGTATATACAAAATTCAAACATACAACAGATGTTAATAATTACAATATTGGCTCAGTACATTCTATATATATATATATATATATATTATACAACTCACACACGGCCGTCTGATCCCAAACTAGGCAGAGCCTGTACTATGGTAACCAGACTGCTGATAAACATACTTATATATTTCTAAATACATACATATTATAGATAAATTACACCCAGACACAGAACAAATGACCGTGCTCATCACACAATAGCGGTTTAGCGGTCAGGGTCACCAACCACTAGACCAACAGGCCTCGACAATCACTTCTAACTAACTTCTACCATGACTATGGTGTGCAACAGGTCATGAGATGTTGCACTAAGAGCTAACTGTCCATTCCTGAAAAGGTTTATTATTCAAATAGTTAAAATAACTATTATAAGAATTTATAGAATAAATGAGATAAAAAAATAAAAAATAGCCAATCAAATCATGTCAACTTTGAACATTATTGTGCATTAAAAAAATATATATACCTATATATTGATATTGAAATTAAAATAATATAAAAACAGTAAAATATTTGTATAGAACGGATCGCAATTATCTAAATGTTCTTTGACTGAATGACCTTACTGTGGGAGATGTAGTTTTTTTTTTAAAGAATTGGTTTTCTTTGATTAGAACTGATTAGAAGTCTTTCATTTTTAATGACGTTTGGTAACTTGTTTAATATTTTAATTGCCATATAATATGGGCTTTCGTTTAACATTTTTATTCTTGACGAAGGAAGTTAAAGCCTATTTTTGTGCCGTCTGTTTATGGTAGGGGTGTTTTTTACTTTAGCAAAGGCATCAATATTATTTTCATTTTCGTATTTTAATAGTATTAAAATGTCATCCGCAAAAAGTACCGGCAGAGTATTTTCTTTGTTTAATGTTTTTGGCAGATAATTAATGTAAATAAAAAATAACACAACCCAATACACTGCCTTGGGGTGTTGTGGAAGTTATTTGGAGTTTTTGAGATCTGAAGGATTTTATTTTATTTTTGTTATTGTAATTTGTACTATTTGTGTTCTATTTTGTAAATACGAATTAAATAATGACTGATCAGGTCCCCGTACTCCACAGCCATATAATTTGTCGAGTAAAATGTCATATAGGACCCTGTCATACGCCTTTGTCATGTCCAGCAGCAATCTTATTACGTGTTGTCTGTCATCTATGTATTGTAACGCTCTTTAAATATATGTATACACGACTAATGTTGTTGATCTACGTGTTCTAAAAGCATTTTATGAATTGTCAAGAATATTAAACTTTTCCAAGAACGTATATAGCTGTTTACATACTTTTTAAATCGTTGGTAAAATGGCTATTGCCCTATAATTTGTTGGAGTGCGTGTGTCGCCTTTCTTATGTATTGGTTTGACTAAAGTGACTTTAAGTGCATCTGGAAATTGACCGTCTTGCAAACTTTGATTTACTAGTAATGTCAAAGGGGTTGAAAGTTCAATTGCACATTGTTTTAATAAAATTGGTGGATGGCGTCGACACCGTAGCTATGATTATTTCTAGTTGATCGAATGATTTCAATTATTTCTTTTTGATTTACAGGACGCACATACATTGAACGTGTGGAGAGGTCAAGCACTGGTTGGTATATCTAGTTTTCTATAACTCTTTATTAAATAGTTACCCCTAGGCATATACAGCGTGTGATAAAATAACAAAAATATACCATGTTTTTCAGATACTGACGCGTCAAGATTATCGCATGTCATTATATGTATATCATTTTAATGACATAAAGCCCAGGAGTGCTTTGATTGATGTCGGAGTCCAAGCACCTTATTACATAATAGAAATGATGTCACTAGTCTAATGTCTTTCTTCCATACTAGTACGTGTTTGTGCTAAGTTTTGCTCCTCTAGTTTGTTAGACGTATATCTATAAAATCAGATGTAATATTGCATAAATACTCGTACGTCTTACACAGTCTGGCACATGTGGTCTTACATACATACATACTTGTCGTTTATGGTATGTTCATGGTGTCTGCGTGGTATAGTAGGCCAAAACCTCTTTTCTAAGGAGAGGCTTATGTCCAGCAGTGGACTGTTAAAGGCTATTGATTATGGTGTCAAACTTTTGTTGCAGAAGTTTCAGCTCCGTCCTCTTCAGTATATAACTGAAAACCTAGTTTGAATTTTACGTTATACATATATATTAATACTATAAATACATAAGTGTGTCTGTCTATCTGTTACCTCTACACAATTAAACCGCTGAACCGATTTAGATGAAATTTGGTATAGAGTTCCGGGAAAGGATATATTATATTTTTTATCCCAAAAATCATCCTATAAGGAGGTGAAAAGGGGGGGGGGGCTGAAAATTTGTAAGGGGAATCAATAAAAAAGGACAATGAGACTTTTATCAATTAATTTTCGTTTGAATAAAGAATGTTTATGCATTTTTGACCAATAAGTCATTTTAGGGTGTGAAATTTAGGGTATGGGAAATGTCAAAATTATGTATCGCAAAATTATTATCATACAGTGACCTGTTTATTTTAATTCTGGTTTTATACATTATTTATGTTTTCAAATCAAAACCACTAATTATTATTTAAATAGTAAGCAGCAATAGTAAGCAAATTACTAATTCCACGCGGACGAAGTCACGGGTAAATTCTAGTAATATACTTATGTATGTACATAGACATTTGCAAGAATAGTAATGAATCATAAAAATCTAATTCAATAATATAATTGGTTTCTCACGCTCGTGTAAGTTTGATAAACTAACTTTGATAACTTTATGAAAGTTGTTTTTAGTTGTTTTTTTAAGACAACACAGACAGTATATCCTCTATATACTTATTCCAAATGCGGGAGTTGTCTTTACGTTGTCTTTGTCGCCGGGGACTTTACAAACATACATGAAACGGACACAAAGAACACCCAGACTCAGAACAACAATTTGTGGATCACACAAAGTGTAGTCCCATGTGGGGATCGGACCCACAGTACTCGGCGTAGTAGAAAGGGGCGTGGCGACCGCTTAAACCACTACGCCATCCGAAAGTTTTTTTTTTTGTATCAGTTAAAACAAATATGGTGTCAATCGTGTCGAAATGTGCAAGTTTATTTGAAATGTTTCTTAAAGTTTCTAAGGCACACTAAGCACTAGACCATCGTGTCGGATCACTGCCTAACGCTTTTCATACAGGGAAGAGACTCAAGTCTAATAGTGTAAGAGTTTAAAAAGAAAGCTAACATCATAACGCACAGCAACTGTTTTTACAATGACAAAGCAAATTACAACACATTTTATTTCCCCATTTCTTTCAACATCTAAAACTTTCTTCCGTGTACCATTAAAAAAAAAGAAACTCAGCATCCCATCATTCATATCATAACTCAGAAGGAACAAGGAATTCCTCACAGCTCACAGATGATCGGACGTATTATGTGCGCGTGACCATTTCACATTTCCTCTAGATTGAGCGATCGATCGAGGTCGTTCACTTCTGCAATTTTCACTTGTATCTTATGCCACGTGCATTAGATATTGATATTACGTTCTATTTTATGATTTGTACGGTCCTGAGTCTTGTTCCATTCACAATTTTTGAATACAGATTTAAAGGAGGCCATTGATTGAGTTTACATCGTAATTGATTGCTAAAAGTAGCAAATACGTTAACATAACGTGACTGTACTGTACCGATTTAAATGGAAAGCGTGAATTTGATGATGTAATCCAAAGCAAGATTAATAGTAGATACCTATGTTGATTTCAACAGGTACTAGTAGTGTTCCATAAGTAGAAGTATTTTTAATTGTTTAATGTTATAGTCATAGGCATAAATTCTCTGCTTAATTATCTAAGTACATAAAATATTTCTTGTCTTTTAAACATATTTTGTTCCTTTTAGCAAATAAGGGCTCCAGTATAGATCCTTGTGGTACTCTTGCTCTTATACGATATATATGTAAGTACATAATTGACCACACTTTGAATATAGCAACAAAATTATAAAATTTAAATAAGCTTACCATCCATTTGACGCAATCAAGACAGCCAGTCTGCGCAGCAGCGTGTATAGGGAGCATCCCATCACGCGCTCTCGCATCTAATCTGCCACCAGCTTCTAGTACTAGGTACTTTAACACCGCAAGGTGTCCTTCCTGTGCGGCTAGATACACCGGCGTCACGTCGTTGTCCATTGCCGTGTTGGCACTGAGGAAGAAACATAATCTTATCAATAACGTGACTACATTATTCCTGGAATCTGGAACATAAATCTTCATGATATTATGGATATAGTATTTTAAGACCGTGCTGTACTTTTTACACGGTAAATAATTCTTAAGAATGCATTTTGAATCTATTCAATGCCCATTGCAAGGCTTTATCAATTAACAATTTAGGCCAAGAAAATGTAGACATAAACCAAAAGTGCTAATGTTAGGATGAAGCCCAAAAACCCAATTTTGTTAGAGATAACTACTTAAGTGTTGTCTTTGTGATCTATACAATATACATAAGTCAAATATTGATGTAGACAGAGACATCAGGATACTATTTTCCCTGATCCTGACATACAGCTACAAGAGGCGCGACTCTTACACGTTCATAAGACCTGCCATACTCACTTGCTGGCTAAGGGTACTTCTTCAGTACACTGCTGATCTGGTCTTTTAGGGCATACCTGCACCAGATCGCAAACCCTTAGCCTTACAAACTTTTTTAGTCATTCTTTTAATAAAAATACCTTGAGGAATAATTTGTGGTATAGTAGGCCAAAACTAACTTTCTAAGGAGAGGCCTACGTTCAGAAAGTGGACTAATAAAAGCAGTTGATGATGATGATGATATTGCTATAGAAGAATTTAAGTACATTTTATTTTAATTAATAAACGCAAGTGGGCAGTCGGCTGACAGTACCTAAGTTCTTTGATCCACTACACTATTCTGTTAGTTTCTATCGCTTACAATTACTAAGTTCTTAAAAAAAATACATAAAGTTTTTATTATATTTGAACCGGCGGTATAGAGTGAGAATCTAATGAGTCAACAACAGCCATTACTAGTCCACTGCTGGACATAAGCCTCTCCTTAGAAAAGAGGTCTGTTGAGTATTATATACTTATTCTTTTAAATACAAATTTCTGTAGAAATATAAAAACATAATTTATAAACTTAACTTTAGCGAACCTGTGGTCCAACCAGGTACACGTTTCTTATTTATTTTTTTAAGATCTAATAGACGTATGGATTTTGAGATAAATGTTATATTTTAAATGTTAAATGTCATCATGTTTCTTTGGTATCTATCTAACGGTATCTTTGTACTCGTACTTATATAATCTTTGTCTAAAAATAACTTATATTTTACACCCTTAAAATCATCATCTTTTGTAAATAATGTCTCATGGTATTCTCATTGAACAATTCCATTGCGTAACGTAAGTATAAAATTTGAACGCTTCGAGAATCATAGCAATGATCTGCAATGTAATGTCGATGAGTTAAAAGATATAAAACGAATAAACGACCTGTGTTGACCTCCATATTAGCTTTCGACATCTGTAAAATATTTGATATCCAGTTTTAAAGTATGAAAAGGTTACGTATTTATTTAGAAATATAAGATTTTTTAACTGATAAAATAAAATTTTATTATAAATCTTAAAACTTCTTACACACATATTTACATATATACATATACTCAGGTCCCATATCCCTGAAGGGTCAACATTAGCCTGAGACGTATTATGCCTTCATTTGAGGAACTTTGCCGTCAACCACTTTACGGATTATATGAGAAAATTGGTTATATTGTAGGCATTGTCTTCTTTTTTTGTTTACCTTTACTTTGCTTTTACGGGTAGATTAGAGACTGTAAGCATTATCTCGAGCAAGTCAGTACTCGAATTGGCCAGTGCCGAAAAGTCTGAGATCTACAAATAGTACAAGTCATAAATAAATATAAAAGCAAAATAATAGAACCGACTTCCATTCGTTCTAATCATGTTACTTAGATCTTTTTAGAAGTATTTGGCCACTTTTGATATACTCGTATCCACTGGTGGATTATGAATGAAGTCATAATATGGCACATAGAAGGGTTATTTTTTTTTGTCTTATTTGCCTTCCATCAAAGTTTTTATCTTGTCCGCAACTAGCTCTAGGCACTGGAGGCACAGAATCTTTTATATCACATCGATATTTGCAACATAAGCCATCATTATTATCACATTCTCTGAATAAATGAATTTATAACTCTTTACTAACTATAAGTCTTTTTTCAAACTTATGGCACCGGCCTTAAGCTTATAATATTTACCAACCATTACAAAAGTCTTTAATTGTTGCAAGTTACGCACTTCGGCAGATTTACGGTACGTTACATCATAACAACAATTCGGACGACGAGGTTGTTGCCCTAATTACGTGGTAAGCACTTTGTAACAATTTAGGTGGAATAATTAAATTGTTAATCTTAATAATGGGTAAAAATATTGTTGTTTTGAGGAAATGCGCCAATTGTAAGAAGGTAGTAATGCTGTTATTGTGTCTGCCGCTTGTTACCTACAACATTAATTGTTATCTTGTTAAAATATCTTTCACACATATTATCATAATAGTTGTTAAAACGTGTATGAATGTGGAACACTCACTAGCTTAAATTTTTGGTAAGATAACTTCCTCAATAGTAACGTGTAGAAGTTTTTATGAAGAGTATGATTAATGCCGAAAAGTTAGGCTTAATTTTGTGTGGTTAGAGATATTTATTAATGGATTGAGATTGGCTATTTTTTAAAACTATATTGACTTTCAAAAAGCATTGATTTGAAAACTCTAGACATGATTTTCATGGAGTCTTCTATTTCTTTTTAGACAACTTCAAGGTAGGCAAGAAATAAAATGAATAATATATCATAATAACTTTTTACTTATATACTAGCTGAGACCCGCGGTGTTACCCGCGTTTGTTGTTATAACCGCGGGCAACGCCGCGGGGCGAAGCTAGTCTAAAAAAAGTAGCCTAAGTTACTCCTTATGTCATTAGCTATCTGCCAGTGAAAGTCCCGTCGAAATCGGTTCAGCCGTTCCAGAGATTACCCGGAACAAACAGACAGACAGACTGACAAAAATTGTAAAAAAAAAATATTTTGGCATATGTACCGTGTAAACATACATATGCATTTAGTAAAAAACGGTTATTTTAATATTACAAACAGACACTCCACTTTTATTTATTTCTATAGATTACTTTACACCTTTACAAAAATTTCTAGAAATGATTTGATTATGGCCTTTAAATCATTTTGTGAATTAAGCATCATTTTATTTGGTAATCGTTTTTTTCCTAAGAGAGTATAAAAAAAAGATATAATATTTTCACTCAACTTACACGCGGCGGTCTGGTCCCGAACTAGGCAGAGCCTGTTCTATGGTAACCAGACTGCTTATATATTTCTAAATACATACATATTATAGATAAACCCACACACAGAAGAAATTACCGTCCTCATCACACAATTATTTGTCCTAGGAGGAAATCGAACCCACGACCTCTGGCGTTAGCCTGTTGGTCTAGTTGTTAGTGACCTTGACTGTAGTAATCAGGGTAACAAACAAAAAATAAATAAATAAAAAGAAAACATAGAAGAAATAGAAATATTTTATAAACATATTGATTATGTTTTTAAAATATTTCTACATGTGAGTGACTACTGAAAGATGAGTATCTTGTAAATTGATTTCTTGCGTTTCACTATGAGTTCAACTCACACCAATAATTTGGTATTCAGCTATTAAGAGTTTTTCAACAGAAAACCAGATAACTGTGCTCGGGAATTAAACGCAGGATGATACACGCAAACATGATATGTTTAAAAACCAAATTAAAGTTTTGATTGTTGTACGTTTCTCGAAAGAGCAGCGTCTGTATAAATAGCAGTATCATAAGTACTGCAGAAAAGATTAGAACTACCTGCAGCAATTGTTATGACAGCAATACATCGATTCCGCGGGCTCTCACGTTTCACTTTTATTTTCTCTTTTCGCTCAGCGGTTGCCAAGCAACCGTTGTCGCTGACGTCATCAGGTCGCGTAGGGTCAGGCTGTACGTGCAATGCGGAGTATTACGTGAGATTTTGGTAATAATATATTTGTAGTTCGTCGGATAGTGCAAAAGTATTTTGCCTATTTTTTGTTGGTATATGAAATTGTAAAGAACTGCTAATTGATTAAGAAGAGTCTATGACATGTACTGAAGCATTTATTCATACTCTTAGTGCTATCAGTACTATTTATTTGGTTGTATTTATGTTTATTAATTCGCATTTAATGTGCTTAATACATTTGCGTGCTGTGAACATTAGACACTAAGGTGTTTTGCGGCTTTTATGACTCCAAGTATTAGGCAGTACATTATGCATTCTGCCCTAATTCAATGACTAAACGAAAAGTCAGAGTTGTAGTCTCATATTATGCACTTTACGTGTTCACTAGACACATCCAAATACAGCCGCACAGCACTTTCACTTGTAGGCAAAGTTCAAAGATCCAGACTAGACAAATTAAGTTGTTCATATCAAATACAAGGTGAAAAAAATGACATCATAAAAGATACCTTATTTTCTTCGTAGTTACATCTTAAACCCATAGAAATTGATAAAAACAATAATTCCATATATATTTATAGCGAGAATCGACTTAGCAGCGCTGACAACAGCATGTTTTAACAGACTTCATGGGACAATCAGGCTGTAAAAATTAAATCATTAATAACTGAATCATTAATCACTTATCATTATTATTAATTTCAATTTAATACCCTACTCATATTGCGATTGTTATTTAGGTCTTACTTAAAGAGATTCTAGATAGCAGTGTTACCAAGAAAGTAATTGCAATAGACCTCTCATCATAAAAATACCATAATCTGAAATTTCTAATTCCAATTCAATTACTTGATTCCATTAATAAATTATTAATTGAATACCGTACAGAATACTAAAATAAACATAATATATAGATGAACGCATACAATTTCCGCAATAATATTTTATGAAGTGATTTCTTGTAAATTGCACATCATTAAGTGGTATTATGGGTACTACGTGGTACCGTACTAGTGGTAGTGTGGCCTTTAGATAAACAATTATTTTATATCGTCGATATGTATGGATAGTCTGTGAAATCTGTAAAAGCGTTGAAAAAAATGGTGTCCAACTTTGCTCGCGAAACAGCATAGTAAACTTAGCCGGTAAGTAGACACGTAAATGATTTATAATAATATATATATATATAATAATATATATATATATATAATAATATAAAAATTATGATTTAACTAGCTGACCCGTGCAACTTCGTCTGCGTCTCTCAATAGTAATAAATTTTCTCCGTTTTTGAAACATTCTTCATTGGTGCTCCGCTCCTATTGGTCTTAGCGTGATGATATATAGCCTATAGCCTTCCTCGATAAATGGGCTATCGACACTGAAATAATTTTTCAAATCGGACCAGTAGTTCCTGAGAAACAAACAAACAAACTCTTCAGCTTTATAATATTAGTATAGATTATTTGACTGGCCTGTTGGTCTAGTGGTTAGTGATCCTGACTGCTACGCCAGAGGTCGTGGGTTCGATTCCCACCCAGAACAAATAATTGTGTGATGAGCACGGTCATTTGTTCTGTATATGGGTGTACTTATGTCTATAATATGCATGTATTTAGAAATATATAAGTATGTTTATCAGTAGTTTGGTTACCATAGTACAGGCTCTGCCTAGTTTGGGATCAGACGGCCGTGTGTGAAATATGTGAGGATATAATATTATTATAATGTTATGTTAACGGCAATTTCATTATGTTTATTTTATGCAATTACCGCTCGTACCTACATTTATTTACAGCACATTCTTGGAATAAGCTACACACCGGAGACTTTCTTTATTAAAATGAATGAATATTATTAAATATTCAAATAAGTATTGAATGGATTGTGTAACTGTTCGCAAAACGTACTGCATATTAATTTTATACGTGATTCTTTACTTCATTATATAACATGACAGTTTGAGATAAAATGATTGTACCTATACTCCATCTTAAAAATGCAGTACGCAATATTGATTGATTGAATTTCTATTGGAATATATTCTAAACAATGAAAAATTAAAAATCCGGTTGTATTGGCGTACATAGTCGACTGTTATTTGTTTGGTATCACGTTTAGATAGATAAAATATTTAGGTGTGAGGCAAGTATACCTTGCTATATTGGGTAACAAATTCAAATAATGCTGTAAAAGTTAAGTAAGTAAGCCAAAAAAATGCCTCGTTTTTGTAACTACGGAATAATTTATCGCATTGTTCAAAAATGTAAAGTTCAAAAAAACTATAAGTTATAACACACATTATTATAAGATAAGATAGAGATGAGTAGTAGAAATAGGGAGAATGTAAAACGTGAAACAGTGTCGAGTAGTTCTTCTGTATGACTTATGACACTGAACGCTATGTTCCGTGTTGTGTCGCCACAAGAATAATTAAGATTAAATCTAACATCTAACTTGACATTAAAATGTCAAGTTCATTACAAAAGACTACGCAGATGACATTCCTAATCCAAATCTATTTTTTAATCTTTTCCGTTCCGTTTCTCAAACAATCTTCTTCTGCTATGCATCACTCATACTTCCGAGTATGTCCACACTTCGTTCTTAATCCAATTTATTCTCTTGTGGAAAGCTATCCCTGTACAAAACAAGTTAGCACCAAGCCGTCTTTCGCTCAAGACGATTCTTCACAACTATAATCCATTATATAGTATTAATGTATGTGTGTAAACTAAAAAGTATACATGTATATGTAGTAAAGTACGTATGTATACGTTTATTTGTTTCTCGGTTCTTAGCAACTACTCAAGTTTTTTTTTTTTTTTTACGATTTATATTTAGTGTTCCTAGTCACAGATGCCTGGCTCTCTGCAGCACCTTAAGATACACAGATTTTTTCTTTTTAACATAAAGAATGAAATATATTATATAAATTACTATCAAATTATAAATGTCGCTACTACTCGTATCAGCCACAAAACATTTTGTGCAGGTTGTTAAGAAAGACTGCACTTGCGTTATACGGGACTAATCCCTTTCACTCGCCCACCACTGTAACGCCTGTACACCAGGATTAACAACACGTGACCCACGAACACACCAAGTTATGACACTCGGGCAATCCTAGGAAAAATTAAATCGGTCTTGAAACCCGCAACGAAATTAATCGGAAGAAAATTGGAGGCGTTGGATTTATAACTTGTGCCACATGAAATGTTTAGGTATTGGCTTAGATTAGTCTGAAACAATGTCCAATAACATAATTTATACATTATGGTAACTTATGTTTTATCCGATAGAAAAGCAGTTTTATTTAAATTTATACAAATTACGTAGTTAAGGCCGACATTGAATAATCTTTCTCTGTGTCTAGAAAGTGGACGCTTTGTCTCGAATCTACGACATTAATTCTTTTACATCATTAATTTAATTTGCATAAAATTATAGAGAATCAATAACTTCAATTGCATTTACCTAAATATTTGACATGGTAAAGTATAATTAGAATATATAGGTACATACATAGATGCACTTGCTCTCCCACTTAACTTGGCCAGGCTTAACCGGGCTGACAGAAAACGGGTGTTTTATACATTTCTTTCAGTGCTTTTCATGGTTACCGGATCTCAAACAACCTCCACCCCTCTCCCTGTTTTAGAGGGAGGGGGGAGGCCTCAAAAGGCACTTGTGACTCTTGAGTTGCAGGTGTCACTTACCATCAGGTGACACATCTTCAGGTCACCCGCCTGCTCGTTAGCCCCTACACCATAAAAAAACTTACACTTAAATATATATATTCGATATGTAATGTTATGTGTTTGTGTGACATATATTGTGTTTGACTGTAAATGACAATATTATTTATTAAATTTATCTTATTATATATGCATTCACCTACACATTATACTTGTCCAATCTACATTCAAGTAAGACAGGCGTATTAAGCCCACATTTTCCAGGATTATTGCCGTATATAATAGATTAGACATAGGACTACATTGAAAGGAAAGGTATTTAAGAAGGGATGGCAATGGTAGAAAAAGAAATACTGCTTAAATGGATAGATTAGTTAGTGTAAGCAATTTTTCCAACAGGTTCTAGGAGTTTCACTCGTACCTGTAATTGGAATTGGTCATTTCCGAATAGTAGGAGCTCTCTAAACGATTAGTAAGGAAATCAATAAAAAAGGTAACAAGGAGACCTATTTCTTAGCGCGTTCCATGGATTCACCGTGCGGGTGCCAAGTCCATCGCGTAATAGTTGGTGTCAACACATGGGACTTTTACAGCGCCTGGGAATTGCGACCCAGGAATAGGTTTACAGATTACTCCTTGCGACGAGTCAACGTTCACCTTCACTGTCTGCTGTATTACCCCCTCTACCGAACCATATTTGATACGAGCCTAGTAATGGCGTTTTGGATATTCGTTCAAGAAAAGAGATTACTGAAGCTTAGTATTCATCTAATTTCCTCGCAAATATTTGGAGTATTCAAACCACTCTGGAAAACCAGTTCAAAGCCAATGACTGATGGTGGTTGGATTGCAATCCCGGTGTTATTTGGGCGTTGCTGCGATGTTATCATTACAATATTATTGTTTTTTATTAAAACTAAGCTGACAAATAATACGTATTACTTCTTGTTAGTTTAATGTTTACCGGGGTTGTCTATACTTGTAATACCAGAATAAACTCCCTACGCTCTACGCAATAGTCTGCCGTTGTTCCCAATCTTGAGCACACATTTTTTCCTACATCCTTTAAATCTTTGTTACTTTAAAACTTAAAAAATAAAGTTTAAATTAAGATGTCAGGATGATATAATGCAATATTGCTGCAATATAATAATATTACAACATTAAATAATAATGCTTGCAATATTAAGCTGCTAGGCCAGCGGAGTTCGCAATATGTTATACGACCTATATTCTTCCTCAATAAACTTGTTACATAAACGAATAATCCTTTAAAAATTTCTGAGATTTTCACACCACAATGTACAAATAAATATCTCAAGTGTACCTAATAAAAACAAATATACTCTTGCGTATTTCAAATCATAAAAATAATTATTTACCGTTCTCGTCCAGCATAGGTGCCAGCTTTTTGTTTCATGCGTTTATTTTTCTTGTTTTTCCGTCCAAAGAATTTGCTTGTCACCCGACTGTAAGGCGGGTAGACATTGTTCAGTGTCATTTCCAACCAATAACAATCTTCAATCAACAAACTAAAGCCTTCAAAGCAAAATTAAAAAAAAAATGGATAAAGTCGAAAAGTCGGAAAAACAATCACCTCATTATACACTATCACTATAAACCACTCGATAAAATTATTCTAAATTTGAAGTCAAATTTCGAATTTTCGAGATTCGAAAGAGTTGCGCGTACGGCGCTCGCGATCGCTTCGATCTCACTGGTGAGCTTAAGGCTTGCGGGCGATTTCCACGCGAAAACAGCGAAAGTGCTTTGCTATTGTATGGTAGTGATTGATACGACTTTATTGTTTATAGATTCTTTAGCTGTCTGTGTGGATTAAGTTTCACTGTACTTTGTGTATTGATTTATGATGAATTCTAAATCTCTGAACATCACTGATGCTTCAGTTTTCATGAATCATATTCTCTTTCAACCCTTGCTGTGTCCATCAAATCCATACTACTGCCTGTCTGTTACCTCTCCACGCTTAAACCGCTGAAACCGATTTAAATGAAATTGGGTATAGAGATATTCCAAGTCCCTGGAAGGGACATAGGGTAGTTTTTATACCAGAAATCATCCTTTATCCTTTTTTTTTTGATAAAAAGGGGGGTGAAAGTTTATATGGGGAATCGATAACCGCTGAACTGATTTAGATGATTTTTTTATGTATATACTTTGATTCTTGAGCTATCCTCAAGAATCAAAGTATATACATAAAAAAATCATAGGCTTTACCGGGATAACCGACATTTACGGCGGAGCCTCGGGAAAAAGCTAGTCAATCTATATATCTTATTTTGTTAAGATGTTTTTCCTAGATACTTTCTAAGTAAATGATATGGTTACAAGTTGTAATTATGTATGTATATAACGTATCGTTATTGTAGCAACATTATACTGTGCATCGGTACAGCATTCGTTTTGAACGTCAAAGGTCGCAGGTAAAATTTTTGTTGAGTGCAAATATTTGTATACAAATATTCGTCTATTTAATTTTTTTGGAAGTTTCTATATAATTATATAAGTAACAATAATGTAATATGTATGAAAGCGATTCAAATTATCAATAGCTGCGTACTTATTGATGTGGCAAATTGTGTAGTTTACAGGAGTGATTTGTTAAGTTTTTCAAATAAAATTGCGAAATCAGTGTTCAGAAACCAGTTTTAACGATTTGCCATGCAAGTATTTCCTTATTAACACAAAATGGAAAAGAAAGAATGATGTTGATGATAATATATACCGTTATTTACGGGATTTAATGTTTTCAACTAATAAGCATTTTAATACCTGACGTTTCAACCAGAACACCAATTCTCTTAATAAAAGTTCGGTCAAAATGCAGTTCCGGTCAACTCTCGATCTCGCAACTATCATAAAAGGTATTTTCGTAGTAAAATAGTATAGTATTACTAAGACCTACAGATTACCGATTCAATTTTCGATAAAAATACGAAATAATCACATTACAGTCAATGTTGCATGTTTAATACTTTACTAAAATCAAGAGTTGATCGGAACTGAATTGTAACTGAACTTTTATTACGAGAATCGGTCTTTTGGTGGCACTTGACTTGACTTAGTCAGTCAGTTGGCGATAATGATCATAATGACATGAACACAAATTATAGAGGATGAGAATAATATAAAAATATTTTTTTGATTTATAAAATCTTCATAAATCAAAGTTTCTCAATACGCAATTAATCTAAAGGTAGAGAATATTAACTGTATTGTTGCTCTAGTTGTTAATAACCCTGACTGCTGATCAGACGTCATGGGTTAGATTCAAATCCAGGACCAACCCTGGATCTAGGAGGGGCAAACCGTAGCATTCGCCCTTATCGGCAGTTTCAGGAAAACTTACTCTACAAAGCGCCTAGCATACGGAAGCCTAGTTGGCTCACCGTCGACTTGCAAGAAAAAGGCACCACATAGACCTACACTAAAAGTGAACTTACACATTTTTGAGTTTTTTTAAGCAATTTATCTCAAACACTGGAGAGAGGGGCGCCACAATCAAGTTTCTGCCCTGGTTCGAAAAAATCGTAGATCCAGGGCTGTCTAAGACAAATAATGGTGTTCATTTGTTCTTTTCATTTTGTTTATTTCAGGAAACCTTGAAACAAACCCTATGCCAACCCGTCTGGCCAGCGTGGTATAGTAGGCCAAAACCTCCTTTCTAAGGAGAGGCCTATGTCCAGCAGTGGACTATTAAAGGCTGTTGATGTGATGATGTGATTTGTTCTGTGTCTCAGTGTAATTTATCTATAATATATTTGTATTTATAAATATTTAAATATGTTTGTAAGCAGATTAGTTACCAAAGTACAGGCTCTGCCTAGTTTGGGACCAGACTGCGGCGTGTGAGATGTATCCAGTCATTATAACAATTTTTACATCATAAAACGTATGTCTAGATTAGTTGCGAAGGTGTACTTCACATATCTGTGACAGGATGATATTAAGTAAAACAGTACAACATGAAGTCGTTACTATAATTATTTCTTCTGATACTTATTATGTATGCAGTGTATTTGGTGTAACATACACGCTATCAGCGGCTTGATATGTTGTAAGAATAGTCATTATTCTAGATAAACTCGAAAATGACATGCTTTTCGATATAATTCACGAAAATACTTACGAGTATATTATTAAATAATATACTTTCTTTCGTAAAATAAGGGAAGGATTTGACAATCTAATGCCATACTAACCCTTATCACGTAGGAACATTAGGTCACTATTCATTGTAGGTGTTGTTGATCTCATCTGATAGACATCTTCTGCATGACCCACGCCACTTATACGTTGACTTAAAAACTTTTTAAAACTAGGTATTAAACACAACTGCTGCCGCTGCGGCCGCAGCAGCTGCAGTATGTTTAGTTTGCATTAAAAATCTGTTAAATTAAAATAATAATTTTGCCATTACAAAATATTCTTGACTTTAACTAAGCATCATGATACCTATTCAACAGTATTCGTGACTATTTAGATTCTTGAATACGGTTTCATTCTACGGTTAAGTTTAATTGGCATACAAATAATCATCACACACAATTTAATCTTAAAACCAATTTCAAGAAGACGCAAGCTTGACGTTTAATGTCATGATTTTAATAAATCAAATCTCTCGTTACTTAGACTGCACACTTATTACGTTTCTCTTGAACGAGACACCGTCACCATGACATGCGCATATCGCTACACTTTCGCTACAACGTGACTTTTTAACATCTACTTACAAACCTAACATGTGCGAAAATTGCAGGTTATGTCTGGATTATGTCAGAGATATAATATCGGTGTGACAATTCGCACTTATGCGAAATAGGTAGATAGAGATGTTCTACAAAGTGACATAAACAAAAATCTTTGGTTAAGTTTTCGCACCGCAAAGCTTATGAAAGCTGTTAAACGACGGTTCTCTGAATAGTATAAAATGAAGTTTTTTTCTTCAGGTAATATTTAAAAGTTTTATTAATTTAAAAATAAATATACAAATTTAGGGTAACAAGTTAAAGAGCACTATTTCCAAAGCAAGTAAATCTAAATTGCAGTTAGCACAAACTACAATTTAAAAAATCTCGGACTTAACATGCCTTCAAAAAAGATGATTTTGAAATGATTGAATTTTTTTAAATACCTTTCAAAAATACAAAACTGAAGGACGGATTATATAAAATGATTAAAAAAAAATGATGATAATAGAAAGCGGCACAGTCAATTTTTAAAGACCTCAATCCTACAGTAGACCATAAGTAAGATATCAATCGTGTATTTTTCTAACAAAAAAGCTCCCGTGACGTTTAAATTGACAGGGTTGCCAACTTGTGCGCTAACTAACTTGTGTCAAAAATTCAGTGAAGTACAACTATATAAATTATTTGAACTTATATTGTAGCCAATAGGCTATTTGACTAAGTTTAGAAAATGTTTTAGATTCTTTCTATACATGATATTGTACATAGTACATTAATATTTCTGAGAAATTAGATCTATTTACATTTAAAAATCGCTATTGAAGTTTAAATTTTAAAACCGCGGCAAAAACGTGCCCTGACGTCACACGCTAGCAACCTACTGAAGGGCAAGAGGGGGGAGACAAGACGCCAAGATCATGACGTAACGCAATTGACATATGTTATGATATGTGATATGTGTTATAAACAAAACAGTACTGACGTGGTTATGTTATAAAGTGAGTTTCATTATTTTTGTTAAGATATATTAGATAAAATGGCGTATAAATGGTGTGTAGTGTCAACATATAAGAATACATCTAAAAGTACTCCACACAAACTGTTTGTTAACACTTAAAAAAAACACATAAATGCGCACTTAACATCGGTTGAAGGAATCCACAAATTAAGATTTTTGTTTTGTTTACTTCATATCTTTTAATCTATGGTTCACTTTTGACACTTGTGACCATTGCGGTGTCGTCACAAATTTGTGTCCAATCACAGGACGTTCCCGTCCGAGATAAAATGATTAAAAAAAATTAAATTTATTTCGCTAAATTTGCTTAAAACTTTACACCAAATAGTGTAAAATAAAATAAATTATGCTTTTCTATCCTTTTATCTACTAGGATGGCCATAATTTAGAGAATATTTTCAATGTTGTCAAATAGCCTATTTAAGTTAGCATTTTGTCATAAATCAAATAAACTATTATCTATCACTTTAAAGTATCATAAGCAAATGAATACCTACTACTTATTAGCATTTGAACAAACAAACTTAAATACGACTTACACGTAGACTGACTTCGTGTAAGTCGTATTTAAGTTTTTCTAGTCAACTAAATGACGCTTTGTTCAATAGAAAATGCCGATCAAGGTCAAATAACTTGATCACTCATTACTTGTGAAACATTTTACAACAAGAGAAATTCTTGTTACAATAAACTTGGTTTTTGTTACTGCTTGTCTCTATCCGACGCTAGATGGCACTGTGAGAAATTTCCCATTGGTAATTAAAATGAAAA